AGCAGCTGGAAAGCTTGCTCATCTGCAGTGTGCAGGAGCTGCTACAACCTGCAGGTGCTTTCACTTCATTAGCCTAAGTAGGTACCTGTGCTTTGAAGAAAGCTAAAGGTCTGTTTAAAGTTTAAGCCGGGGGCTTCACAGCTGAAATGCATCACGACTGAATATTCTGCCGTTGCTGGAGGTGTAGCTAATACAGCTATTAGCAGAGGCTTGACCTTTCATAGTGAGTGTTCTGTTAGTAGGCACGGAGATTAGTTGTGTTGCTGGACTTCTGCTGCCTCAGGTATTATTTAACCTGGTTTTTACATAGGTACGCAGTAGATGTTGGCTGCTGATGTTGCAGATGTTGGTGCGTTGTGCTTTTTGCTTGCTTGGGGTCTGTCTGCCCTCAAGCATGCGCACCAGTACAGGGGGTTGCAGCTCTCTCTATGGCAGTCTGGTAATTGTGCTTATTTTGGCTGTTTCTTACTAATTTCATGTTATTGAGACTTTAACGGGAAATGGTCTGTGTTTTCCCATTGTACTGTAACTAGTTTCTTCTCTGGGATTTCAGGAAAAAGGAGGTATCGTGTGTGGCCTACTATCAATGTGCTTACAGACCAACCTGTGTTTTGGTATAAGGTGGTTTTCTGTGATTTGTAGGGTGCATTCGTGCTTCTTATAATAGGATGTGCAACTAACCATCTACTTGAAACTATTTTCTGGTGAATTAACTTTGCTTCTTATGTGATTGTTATCTCTGTAAGGCCATGTAATATTGAAACAAATTTTCTCAGACAGCTCCTGAGTATTCTAATCATCAAGACAAACTTATTTTTATTAGGTCGCCTGTGAACAAAGCAGAGATAACTATAATGCTTATCTTCAAACGCTGTGCACGTGCCGTCATGTAATGCTACCCACGTATAAACATCAGCATCCCCAGACCCACAGTGCTGTCGGAGTGGGCTTCTGTTCCAGCTGATGCAATTTTGGTTGCCTGAGGGCAAGTAGTTAACCAGGGGTGACTTTCCAGTGGCAGCTTTTTCAAATAGAAGTTTTCTGTAGAGATTTTGTTTTAAAGGCTTTACTACTTCTAAAACTGAAGCATCGCTTAATGTATGCACAGAGGACACCTACAGTTCATATGTGTCATGATTCCAGAGTCATATGACACAGGCGGCAGAGAGATGGTTTTGTAAAAGGATGCCTAGTTTCTTACCAATGAACTTTCAAATTCTTTTGGAGGCTGATGGCCATCCTCAGATAAAGGCTGAGGAAAGAATGTGCTGTATAGTCATTGCTTCACAAGCTGGCTTGCTTCAGCTGTGAACTCGGAATGTAAGATACTCTTGAGGGTTTTGGAAAAGTTTATGAAAGCTTTTTGGAAATTCTAGAAAGTTTTTATCCAGAAGGAAAATGTTAGGTTTAAATGTGTAGTTTGTGGGCCTTAGCTGTAGCTTGGTGGCTAGGAAACAGGGACAGGTGAGCTGAGACTTCAGAGATGATGTGTCCTTTCATACCTTGTCTCTGCTTGCAGGAAAATGAAAGTAAGTAGAAGGGAAACCAGCAGTTGATACTTGATTCTTCCTTTTTTGCGATAGAAGGTTGATACCTTTTAGTTATCTGTAAAATCTTTAGTATTTGAGGATTTCGGAAGAGTGACAAATACTAAAAAAGAAATAGAATCTTGTAATATTCTCATTTTATAGAGGGAGACAGAGGTACAAAAAAGTAACTGATCTCTCTGGCTTTATCAAAGACAAAGCATGGAATAGAGGAGGCAATAACCAGGATTGCCGAGTAACAGAAATACTACTGCTGAAGATAATTTACAGAGATTTCATAAAGAGACTTGTCTGTAAGCAAAGACTGATGCTGCTGTTGTAACCGTTCTTCTGAAATGGTACCTGTTTCTTGAAATGGGTCTTAATAACCCAGGGCAATGAGTGTTGGGTCAGGGAATTGCATCCTAGAGCACTGTCCTCAGCAAGCCTGCCAGTTCGTTTTGTCTTTGATCATAAGCTTCTTCTGTGTACATTATATAACAAATAGAAGTCGCAGAGAGATGGATGACTTCAATCAAATTTAATGATGACCATTTCATTCCTGAGCACGGCTGCGTATTTATTTATATCTACATACATATTTGTGTGTGTATAAAAAATAATTTTAAAAAACCCCAAACAACTTCTGTTTCTGTTGTTTAGAATCCCCTTTCTTGTGCTTCTCATTTTCAGCTGAAAGGGAAATTGTCAAAATAAGATATGACTTTGAGATTTATTTTTTTTTTGTCTTCGTTCTCCCCTTTTTGATGCTTTGGAATGATACCGTTTGTGATTCCTCTCACTTGTTTTGTGTCCTTCTCTTCCAGTCTTTGATTGCTATCTAGTCAGATCGCATTTACCATAACATTAAAGAAAAGCCGGTTCTGTCTGATGTGCTTGAATGGGAGATTTGGAAAGTGATGTGTGTAAGAAAGAGATGTTCTTTGCAAATTAGTCATAATCTCCTTTGAGTTTAAACAAAACATGAGCCCACCTTCCACCAAGTTCTCCAAAGGATGATCTCTTGTGAGGGAGAAGAAAATGCAAGATAACTCACTACTGACAGAATCTTAAGGATTTTTTCCATCTGGAATAAAAGATTTTTGTAGCTTGACAGAAAATCAATGCTTTCTCATTCTTATTAGGCATGTAGCAACATCATCTCCAGACATCTCTACACCAGGGAAAATTTAATTTAAAGTTCCCATCATTGCAGCCGTACTGCTGCTAAGAAATCTTGGGATTCCTCATGTAGATGAGGTTCCCTTAGTCCTCCTTGTGCAAGCAGCATTGGGATGTCTCATGAAGGGCAGGTTCCCATGATCAGATTTGTTGCTCACTCTTCAGTTTATATCTCCTTAGAAAAAACTGACCTCCGCTTTAAGTATGACTGGGAATGCAGCTTTGTCAGTGTTAAATCTTTCAGTAGTGCCAGCATCTGTACAGCTGCCGGAGCAGTAAATGCAATAATTTACATTGTCTACGTCCTAGAACAACATAGAGTATAATCTCTTGTGTATTTTGGCAAAACACATGTTACCACAGGGAAATCTTTTGCTTATACTTGAAGTGCTGAGAAGCTAATCAACTAATTTTAGCAGTTGTTTGAGTAGAGATGTTCTTATGTGTACCTGGGCCTATCGCAAAGGCATTCTCATTATAGTTTGAATACAAATACACGAAAGCTGATGGCAATAACTAGTAAGAGTAGTAAGAGGAGTGAGAGATTACGGAGAGGGTGTCTGTCTTAAAAGAAAGCATCATGCAACTTCAACTGCCTGCTAGGTGCCTCCTTGGAGGGTAGCTTGATGCTGTTTGTGTCCGACCTAGCAGTCTGAGCACCATGAGACCAGAGCGGCAATGCTCACACTGTGGTACAGTTTCTTAAAAGATGAAGGAGAGAACAGGCAGCCCTTGAAGAAGCCTAGCATCCAGAATATATAAGGCATCTGAAAATTGCAAAGGAGCTGAAATGAATTATCAAGTAGAGCTAGGGACCACCATAAGCTAACAAGCGTAAATGTAAGCCTGAATTTATCAGCTAAAGCCAGGCACATTTGAGTGGGTGTGCATGAGAGATTCTTGCTGAAAGCAAAGAGTGAGCGAGTGGTATATCGCTTGATGCTCTTTAAAAGAAAATGGTTGCAATCCATATCATTTTGCTGTCAAATGTATTTGAAGAATAGAAGACATGTCGGATATACGTTCTGCAAATAGTTATCCAAGGTGTTCCAGAAGTATTTGGTTCGGAGGGTTCCTTGGAATCCACCGTTCAAATCTACATGTGCCTTAAGTTATCTTGAAATTGGCTGTTGTTCTATGATGTGGGAAAGCGACAGCATAGCAGAGGCTAACTTTAGCCTGGCAAAGCCGGAGATCATCTTGTTCTCAATGGAGAGGATCTTCCAAAGGCGTTAATTCAGCATCTGTAAAAATGAGTATTTTGCTCATGTTTTAGAGCCACTACTTCTCTCTGTGGTCTATAGGAGGCTAAATTTAGTCTGTAGTCCTTTGAACACCCCTTACACACTGATATATTTAAGCAAATCCTTGATACCACAACGGGATACCTTTTACCTTTCAGTACATGGATAATAGCCCGATGATTGCAGTTCCGTAAATGAAGACTACTGAGAAGGGTTCCACATTCTGATTTTTTTTTATGTCTGTTGTCCTTTGTGTGTTTTTAAGAGATTTCATTGCATCCTCTTGATTCCACTGAACAAAACTGTAAATCCACCAGTGCAAAGGTGTAAAATATTCAGGTTTTCTTTTTGCAATCCTACTGCATGAAGGAAGCTCCTAGTTAACTGCAGGATGAAGCAAGAAATTTCAGGGTCAGGTAGCTTGCCACCTCTAACTGGTCCTTTACTAGAACAAAATGTAGCAGGAGAGTAAAGTGCAGGAGCTGCAGCAAATTAGGCTCAGTGGCAGTAGAGTTGCAGGATGAAAGCAAAATATAGCCCATTTGTCTGGAAGTCTGTTTGGGGTTCGGTGGTATGAATGGTACTCTAAAAATGTAAAATGTTATTACACGGTATTAGAGAAAGATTCAGCTCAGCATGCATAAGAGTGGCTGTGACAACTGTATATTTAAAGGGTGTGCTGTTAGAGCATCTCTTGTTTTCGCTTACTTTGTATTTATGCTTTTACTGCTGGTGATGGATGATGATGTAAAAGCAGATATTCTTTTGTGATAACCTTCTTCATGAGTTTTTGTCATTGCTATACCTTGCCCTCTCACAGATTCTTTTTTTTTTTTTTTTACTGGTTTTGTACCTAAATAATCTACTGTCAGCATGCACATGTTGTTGAGTCTCGTAATTGAAGCAGACCCATAGCTGACTCCCACACCAAACTCCCACCACTCAGCCATTGTGGAAACCTTGTTACTCCACTTGGTTTTTGAATGCCATGTTACGACACTGAAAAGCTCACTGTCTCTCAATTTTTGTTCCCCTCTTCCCCTCGTAGAGCATGATGAGTGCGGCGGCGAACACCATAACTGTGATGAGAATGCAATCTGTACTAACACTGTCAGGGGACATAGCTGCACCTGCAAGCCCGGATACGTGGGGAACGGGACCATCTGCCGAGGTAAGTCTGTTACTCCAGGAACCCCATAGAAGTGGCAGACTCTATTAACATTTTCTGACAGTCACCTACATTCTGGTAACTTGTGATGGCTGGATTCTGTCAGCGCTTTGCTGTAAGATTTATCATCTGGCAAACGGGGTATGTGTGGAGATGATGGGGATTGATTTTTGCATAACTTCTTGGTAAGAAGGAAATATTTTGGGAATGCTAGAAGGAAAGTACTTTTCATTTACTGTCACCGAATGCTGTCAGTTGAGCTGGTGTCATTCAGACTTTAAGCGATGTTCGTTGTTTTATAAACTGTGGATTGTATGTGCTATCACTTTTGGCTTTTCCAATTTGATCAGATGCCTTTTAAAATAGGATTATTGCCTTTTATGCTAACCTCATACGGTTGTCCTTTGACTACTCGCATCAGAAAAGGGATTTTTTTTTTTTTTAAATATTTACTTTTAAACATGTATTTTGAAGATTTCTCAGTTACATGAACAAAAGAAGTACTGATAGCCAGCCATCCTTTCTGTGAAGGGGTAAGTCATTTATTGAGGGTGGTTTTTTTGTTTATGTTTCTGTAGAGAATGGGAAGCAAATACGTTGTGGATGTTATTAACTAGGACTAACTAGTTGGCTTAAGTGAGGGTTGTGTCGTGAAGTGCTGCCGAAGCACTCATTTCGTTATGGATTATATTTGTCTCATAAAAAGTTAGGTTTTTGTCTTCTCTGGGACTATAGACTTTCTGACTTTCCAAACAGAATTTCAGTAATAGAAAACTAAGTTTTAATGTTTGTGAAATGACAACTATTGAAATTGAGGAATGTACTGGGTAAAATATTCTGTACTTAGTCTGGGAGCACAAGAGGCTGGATATTAGTTTTCCAGAATGTTGTAAATTGGCCAAGCAATTTCTTAAAGGAGAATGAAGATCGATGTCATTCTTGTTTCAAGCTAAGTCAAGTTCTTCCCCAAGATTAGCCTGTCATCTGCTGAATTATCATATACCATCTGATTGCTTTTTGATATGACTTCCTTTGGGTGCTGTCCATTGGCACAAGAGCATCCCTGTATTCTAAAACTGTAAAACGGTTTATAAGGGTTTTAGAAGGAACGCAAAAAATGTTATGAAAATAGTGGGCAAGTTAAACCTCCAACTGTTGTTGTTGTAGATGGAGAGAGCGAGAACTCACTGTAGTATGTTTTTAGTTTTGATTACAGTGACTGTAAATTGCAGCATAGGCAACTATAGTTTCAGGGAAGTCTGAGTTGAACAGCCTGTCTCTGTTTGACTGCAGTGGGGGGGGAGGGAGGGATTTTTTTGGGTATTTTGGGGGGTTTTGTTTGTTTGTTTTCCTGAGGGTAATACAGCAAGACAAACCCTTAATCGTATTTCTTTGAAACAGGGATGTTTGGATTAGTTCCTAAAATTCGTGATTTCACACTGGTTTTCTTCTTTTGCACACCTGGATATTTGGTTTAATGGGCCAAAAACTCAAAGCGAAACTCCAGCTGCATCTTTATTAAGCTAGTAATGTTGAAGTAATGACTTTGCACTGGAGAAATGCAATGATGTTTTTACCCTCAGAGTTGTGTTGAAATCCGAGGATAAAATACATATTATGTATTTTTTTCAGTATGCCTTCAATTGCACACGTGAATGTAGTAATGGTTGCCTTGCTGAAATAGGTGTACGTGGAAATAGAGGATACAAAGTGCGTTCTTATATTCTGACTGGGAAGCATAAATTGAAAAGAAAGCTGGAGATTATAGGAAAGTGGTTTGTGGTCTAATAATTATTAAAGTCATTAGGGATAAGAATAATCTGTTGCTGCATGGAATAGTTACCACTGCAAAGCAGCTAATACGAGAATCGTGTGTATTTTAGTAAATAGTAATTACATTCAAAGTAAAGTAGTGGTCTGAGTTTTTCAGCCTGTGGTTCCATGGCCGCTTGAGATTTTTCCAAGTTTGGATGGCTAATTTAAGAAACGCTTCCATTCTACCCATGGCAGCACCAGAAACATCATTTCCCCCCCCGCCTTTTTTTTAAATTTTTTTTAACCAAGTTTAACGGTGATACATTGTGAGTGGGATCTGGCTAAAAATGAACAGGTAACAGCAAAATTATCAGTTACCGGTCACATAGGTTTCATTGCAGAAGTGCTCGGGACAAGGAAAGAGAGGTGTGAGCGTGTCAGGCCAACTACAAACTGCTGATATTGTCTTGTAGTAATTTGGGGGCTTTATCTTCAGGCGATATAAATTGGAAAAAATAGATAAAAGCCAAGGTGATAAGATTAATGCAAAAGTGTCTGAAGATATGATAAACATTTCTCTTCTCCTTGAGTCATCCGTAAATGCTTTTATAAACATTTAGATATTATGGATGTGTACATACACCAAACAGTTGTTCCAACTACTACTGAAATAACATCTCTGTAGTTCAATAAGAAATCTTATTAATATTGTCCAGCAAACCCATAAATAGAGAAATTATAATGTTATGATAAGAGAAAAGGATTGGCATTGTGCCTGATTCCACAACCTATTTCAACAATCTATTTTAGCAATGTTATAAAAAATAAAATCAGAGTAACGTTCCTCTTTGACTTTACTGGATAATGCTGTAATAGTCTTTATAAAAAAAACCCCAGAATACTGTTACTTGTATTTTAGAAAAGAAAACGTGTGTGTAGTTAAATTAAATTGCATGGTGAACTACTGGTAAATATAATGAAATTACTCTGGCAGGAATTTGTGATGTTTACATTTTTTGTGAAAAGTATGGAGAAATAAAGACGACAGACATAATCTGGGTATGAATATTATGATTGCTGGGGATTTAGAAATAGAAACAAAAAACAAATGTTGAGGAGGAAAGCAAATATTTTTTTAAAAAATCTGTGTAATCAGGCTGTCGCACTTCCTGAGTAGAAAAATAAATTTCATGCATAAGGAATTGCTTTAGTGTAAATGTGGTAGACTAGACCATGTCATTAAGGACCGGATTGTATCAAACAAGATGTGGAAACTGTCATGAAGGAAGGTGGTGGGAAAGGGTGCAGACCAAGACCAAATGCACTTGTGCTTTAAAGTAGATACTGCCATAGTTGAAGTGACATAAAAATGGAAAGGGAAGTGGTGATGAACACAAGAAAATCTTTATATAGTTACCAGTATATAGATAGTGAGACTATATAATAGAGACAAATAAGACTTACTTCCTACGGATGCTCTTAATTTCCCTGTAAGAAGCGGGCTTTAGCACCTCCGAAAGACACTGAAATTCTGGCAGTAGGTCAGAACAGAATGAGGCCGAGGTGAGCTGAAATGACAGGACAGGACAATGCTGTGCCATCACCATTAGTAAATTCAACAGAGTGCTGGACCCAGAACCAGATATATTATATTTTAGGATCTCTTCAGAAAATGAAAAGTAAAATAAGGAAATATCTGCTGGAAGAAATTACAGAATTAGCAGCAGAGGACAGAGGTTTAACGAGTTGAGTAGAGAGAGATTCTGAATCTACACATTTGTTAAGTTGCTCTTTTATACGAAGGAAACTTTGAAAAAAATTCAAAATAACTGAGAGTGATTCAGGAAAAAGTTGTAGGTGGGTAATGGGAGACTCGTGCCATGCCTGTTTACTGGAATTCTGTACATGAACTCTAGAATTCTGAGGTGAGGGTGTGAAATAAGGACGATTGTAGCAATTTCACTGAACTTCAGGATAGGATTTAACAGCGTAGCATAAAGGCAATTAACTTGGGGTAGAAGGGAAAGGTGATAAAAATTGCTTTAGCTACTAGAAGTGGCCTTGAATATACTTGGATGGTAAACAGGGCCAGTTCTTCTGAAACATGGACAAGGTGTGTTTGCTGATCTTTTTTTCACGTACCTCTGTATTGGGGAATGAACAGAAGTCTAGCACTTGAACAGAAGTCTAGCACTTAAACAAGTACAAATATTTTTCATTGTACTTCTATATTTTACTTGTACAGTCTGTCTAACAGGTATATTTAGTGTGCTATTAATATCTCATTTAGTGGTTTCTACTGAGTTGCAGATTTATTAGAATGATTAAATGAGGTGGAATTAGTTACAGTCATAAACCTTAAAGCAAATGTGTGCAATATGACTGATGCCTGGGTAGAGAAACATCAGGTATTGTGAAATAGAAATCAAAACAGTGTTTATTCTAATTAGTATTCAGGCTGTAGAATGGTTTATTTCTGCCAGAGTATAGAATATGATCCCCCCACACCCCCCGTTATATTCTTCTGCAGCATTTCACAGGAGACACTTAAGGGATTACAACTTAGTGTGTGGTGGAGTCTTAAAGATGAAAGCCATTATTTTTAAGTGGCTCGGTTTTTCTGGTGTAATCTGGAAGTCCAGATCAGTTTCTTAATTGTACTGTGGTTCTTTGTATAAATTTGCCTTGGAAAGTGTGTTTGGGAGTGCAGTTTACTGATGAACTTACTGGCCACTAAATGAATAAGTTATTGGGAACCTGATATGAAAACTGAGCATATTTTGAACAGATACTCTTACCTTTTGAAAGGTAATAGGAATATTCACATGGAGCCTTTATTCATAATGCACTCAGAATATTTACTGATGACCAGAGTACATCACAGGCTTGGAAATGGCTTCTGTTTGATGTAAATCAGTAAGTGGTTCTATTTTACACTGTTTTAATCACAGATTGTAATTGGATGTTTTAACAAACGGTAATCTGAGAGCTTTCTTTCATTGCAGTTTTGTCCTTTGTTTCCAGGCAGGTATTCTTAAAAGTAATTCTTAGTCTGAAATATATATAATAATCTGAAAGATGTGTCCATGAAAGAAATTGTCTATCTTCCAATGTGTAGGCAGTATAGTGATGGTGTAGTAAATAGATGACTAAAGACAAAGAAAATTTCATCTGTTATGAAATTTCACCTGCTATGAAAAATACCTGAGAGTATTTTTAGTAAGAGCTAAAGAAGAGAAAAAAAGAAA